ACAGGTTGTACAGGAGGAATTACATGAGAAACCCTGTACAAAAAAGTCTTAACCAACGCATGTGAGGCTAAACGTGTTTGAATATGATTGCAAGAGGCAAGATTTGTCCCTTGATGGTACTCTGGGCCAAATGTCAATTAAGGTCTCAATGCAGAAAGGTCAGGAGCCCATGATATACCTTGTAAGAGACAGACCTCCTAGCTTTTAATAGTGCTTGAATTACCAAATCTGAGAGACCTCCGTCTCTCAAGACCTGGGGTTTAACAGCCATGCGGTTGAAACCAGTCCTTGGGACAGTACATCTGGACAATATGGAAGGGCCAGCAGTGTGTGTTCAGACAGTGTGATCAGGTTGAGGCACCACATCCACTTGGGCCAATTAGGTGCTATGGGAATCGCTGGAATGCCCTCCATCTCAATCCTTCAGAGTAAAAAGAGGAAGAAGTTTCAGTGAAGAGGCATAGTTAAGGCTCTACTAATCCTACAGAGGTGTCAGAGCATCCACTGTTTCTGCCAGTGGATCTCTACACCTGGAGACAAACCCGTCCAGTTTGCTGTTGAATCTGGAAGCCAAAAAGGTCCACATTCGCTGCTCCCCACCTGTGACACTGGTTCTGGAACAAGTCCTGGTGTAAGCACCATTCCCCAGGGTTCAGTTGCTGCTTGTTGAAGTAGCCCGGCTGCCAATTGCCTACGCCAGGTATGTAAACAGCAAACAAGTCTGGAATGTGGAGTTATGCCCAGAGTAGAATCCTTTCCACCTCTTTTGCCTTAGGCAGACTTCTGGTTCCTCCCTGATGGTTAATGTGGCATTGTTAGAACAATTTCTCATCAGAGGACCCCTTAAACTCTGGATCCAGTGCTGTAGAGAGTCAAATCACTTGAAGCGTCAAAACCTCGATACAAAAGGACAGCATTCCTCTGGTGTACAAGTTATTATACAGTAGGTACTACAAGAAAAATTGGCCCCGTCTCTGCATTTACATAATCATAATTTTCTCCTGAAATAGCAGGCTGAGTGTACTGCCCATGGGTGTAAAAGTAATCCAGAAAATCGTAAAAGAAAACAGGTAGATTTAGAAACGGATTACAGACAGTGAAGAGAAATAATGGTTCTTGGATCACACAATTTTGTAAGGCTCAACAATCTTTTACAAAAAATAGTGGATCGACTGAATAGAAGTATTAAATGCGCTAAGAAGGTGAAATGGAAACTGGTGATTGGGAACAAGGGAAAATATTTGCCACTCACATGGAGAGATAGCAGCAGTGGCTGGTCGATTACAGGAAGCTCCTCCACAGAGGAAAGGTTTCACAGATCTGGAAGAAATACACAAAGCACACCAAGAATCCAGTAAGCATACACATGCCTCCTGTTTTGAGACAATATACTTTTCTGGAGTTCAGCTTTATAACGATCCCTCTGTGCAGAGCAAACACCGGAGTGATCGTCTGATCACTCCGGGGTTTGTAAATAACTGGGGACACATAGTACTATGTAGTAGTAGTAGTATGTAGTAGTGGTAGTGGTACTATGTAGTGTAGTAGTTATGAATGAACAGGCTGCGATTTACATCACAGCCTGTTCATTGAAGAATACCTACAGTGGTCGCAGCGTAGAGGGGACTTCTGCAGAACGGCTAAAAAAGGAGACCATGTGCATTCATGTATTGAGTACCATGGCTCTTGGTTGGCTTAATAATGGAATGAATTTCCAGGTATAAATTTAGAGTTCCAGGATGCGACAATATTCTCAACTTTATCGAATCAGATAAGGTAATGGATGCACACTCTATTGGTCCTTCCCTAGTACACTTATAATAGCAGTATGTAGTGGAAGCTCTCATTATGTGTGGCCTTTGCACATGTCCGCTTTGCCTTGCTTGGTTTTGGTGCCAGATACATACTGTTGGGTTTTAACG